CGAGGACATGACCTTACTCTACCATCCCATACCTCAGCCACTATACCTACGGCAGACTAGGGAAAATCGCTAACCCAAAAATAGGCAAAAGGCCAATCTAGAAGAAAACGATAAGTAGCTATAGGTACACAGATATTATGATTATACTAATGCGACTGAAATGGCACCAATTTAACTAATACAACGAAGAGAGAGAGTGAGGCAGGAGGTACCAACTCCCGACAGAAGAACCTGGATATTTGCCGCCTTTGCTGCCACTTCTTCACGACTATCGCCGGAAAAGGTCACCGGACAGTTGGACGTAATGGCTATTGCTCGCCAGAGCCGGCTGAAAAGTTGTGGAACAGGGAACTTCTGAAGAGACTACTGTTGCGAGTGTGTTACTCTGTACAAACTCGCCGGAAACCCTAGATCTTTCTTCACTGTGCTCACACACAAAAGAGGGGGGGAGAGGGGGGGATATAAAAGATGACAGTCACCGGCTCTGTGCAAGCCGCTGGCGTAGGAGGGAAAACGGGTGGAGAAAGGGATATGGTGGAGATAGTAGAGGAAGGAGAGAGGGGGATGAGAGAGAGAAAGGAGGGGGGTAGAGAGCGAGAACTTGCCTGACGCCGGTGTCGGAGCTTGGCTTGTCACCGGTGGTGGCAGAGAGCCGTTAGGCACAGTAGGGCGTGAGAGAGAGAGAGAGAGAGTTAAATGCTATTCGAAACTGGGATACAATAATTGGCTAATTGCTAATTTACATGGCTTCTAAGGGTTCTCAAAATTCATTCTTTTCAGCTTTGGAACAGTATGCATTAATTCTGAAAGTATTATGACATGAGTAAATCATTTCTGTCTTCTGTTTGCTGAGGCAATACTGTTTGTTTCTCAGGTCCCTCTCAACAACATGTTTGGGTACTCAACGTCTCTACGATCAATGACACAGGTCAGTAATTTTGTTTCCATTTTCTCAACAAACACTTTTATCAAAGAAAGGGAGAGAAAGGACAGAGGTGATTTCAAACTTTTTAGCTTTTGTATTGATGGTAGGGAGTGAAATGAAGGCAGGAGAGAATATTAATTTTGTTTTCGTCCTAAAGTGGGTGAAAACCTAAAATAAGTAAACACGTTCTGATGAAGCTTTTGTAATGCCAAAAAGATTACTAATGTGAAGAATATGTCATTAAGGTGCTAACGTGAAGTGAGTCGGTCACCAACGTTGTTTTCATCCAAAAGTGGGTGAAAACCTAAAATAAGTAAACACGTTCTGATGAAGCTTTTGTAATGCCAAAAAGATTACTAATGTGAAGAATATGTCATTAAGGTGCTAACGTGAAGTGAGTCGGTCACCAACGTTGTTTTCATCCAAAAGTGGGTGAAAACCTAAAATAAGTAAAACATGTTCTGATGAAGCTTTGTAATGGCAAAAAGATTACTAATGTGAAAAATATGTCATTAAGGTGCTAATGTGAAGTGAGTCAGTGACCGACATTCTTTCCTGTTCTTTATATTCAATCAAAAAACTAAGTGTACTCCTCTCCTCTAAATTTGTTTTCTTCTTTTCTTTTTTGCCTATTCTCATTTTTTTTCTTCTTTTCCTTCCTTTCAATCCAAAATATCCGTACAATGCGTAGTGTAGAAATTTGTGGTACCAATCCATGCTCTCTTTGCTTAGTGAAAGCCATTGATATATCGAACATTTTTTGTTTCACGCAGGGAAAAGGTGAATTTACAATGGAATACAAAGAACATGCACCTGTTTCAAGTGACGTGCAAACACAACTGGTTAACACATACAAGGCCAGCAAAGAAAGTTGATTATATGGTGTGCCTTTGAAGCTGCTCCTACACTTACATCCTGTCTAATAATTTCTATAAATTTGTCTCCTTGGGTGGGCATGTTGTGAAATCATTAGGACCAGAACTGGTCTATCAATTTTGGTAAGCTGAATAAGACATCAACATTCCATTATGTATACAAATAATTATTATAAGTTGTGTATCCCCCTTGAAAAAGATTAACTGTACATTGATTTTACACGGATTTCTCCACCTTGTCAAACGAATAGCCTTACTGACACTTCTCTTGCTCTCCAAATTCAGTCGTTCCACTGGTGAAGCAGTCTGCTAAGACTTTGTATTTAAGCCTTGAAGGAAAATGATTTACATCTGTCAAACACTGATTAAAGGCAAACTAAATTCTAGTTGAAGGTTAGGTATCCCAACTATGGGTCTTTCAATTGAATTCTAGTACATCAGAGCGTGTCTGTGGCTGTATCAATTCAGAGTTTGACCGTATGTGTTTTCATGTATATTTTTATTTTTATGCAATACCACTAGGTTAAATGACCTAGTAAAAAGTACTGTAACTTTTTATAACAAACCTAATTTGGTAATATAGTAAATAAGTTAAAACGCTCTGATAGTGTAAAAATCAATTACTCTACTGAAGTTGGAATAGGGAGGATTAATCCCCACGGCCTACTAGCTAAAAGTTGTGTTTTTTGGTTACAAAAAAGAAATGTTTTGATCTATGTACGGAAAAGAGATTTGCAAATGCGACTATATCCAGACTTAACTGCTCAATGTTTATTCTGTAAAGAAAGACAAATGACATTCACAGATTGTTTTTTCTCCTTTTCTTATTCTTCTGCTAGCTTCAAAGTTGAGAAGTTGCTCTACCCAAAGATTATGTAAATGCTTCTCGCTGCTGTGTAGGTAGCTCTAGTTCAGGTTCAAATGCTGTTAGCCGAGAAAAATACTGATCTACCATGTCATCTGTTACTTTATCCAAGCTTGGAGGATCCCACTGCACGTTTTAACATAAATCAAGAAATGCTCTCCAAGGTTAAAGTTTACTGTTAGGAAAATTCCTCCGGGAAGGGGATCATAATTCATAAAAATAGCATATTGGTCCACAATAATATTGATTTACCTTAGGTGCAAAATCTCTATCCACAAGCCGTGCACGAACCCCCTGATAGGAAGATATTAGTACACTGTGATGATCATCTACGGAATTTAGCACTGAGACCTTTTTTGAGCAGCATATATTACCTCACAGAAGTCATTAGTTATTTGTCCAGAGAAAGCTTGCACTGACATTCGATACTCACGAATTAGACACTGGTCCAGAGTTTGATGTCTACCTTCGCGTATCTGATCGGAAGCATTGTTGGAGGGTCATCTCACAATGCCCTGATGGCAGAGGGGAAAAGGAGAACATTCTATCTAAAAAAAACTTACAGATCTCAGTGAAACCTTCAAGCTCAGTGGGGTTGTTTTTCGTAGTTTTCTCAATGTTAAAATACACCATGCATCATGCTTCTTGGCTGCCTCACTTTCCTGGCAAAATTCAAATTTTTTTTTAAAAATGTAATCACACCCGTCCTTCAAAACTTCCACGCATGTAGTAGACTTTATATGTTTACTTAAATACGTTAGTGTCAGTATTTTAGAAACAAAATGAAAATCCATCTCGCTCGAAAGAGCACCCAGAGGTTGTAGATGCAAACGCAAATGACTCAGTTTGTACTATGGTGCAAAAAAGTGCAGCATTTAAAGGCTTCTCCGTGCAATTTATATGGGGATGTTAGAATTTCCACAATATGCTTTTGCCCAAAGAATGATAGATATAGGTTAGTGTGACAATAGCACTAGGACCTATAGGTACATTTTGAACCCCGGGGAGCAAGCAAAGAGTATGCTGAGCAATGATCATTGTGTTGTTTCAGATTTTTCAAATAGTGGTAACTTGTGATGGCCGAGGTATTAAAAGCAAAGCAATCAGATGCTGAACATTATTGCATTGATCAACTAAAATTATGTTTCCACTGGCACCTAAGGGTGTAGACTATAGCCTAATAGTCAATGAAGTCAGTGAAAACCATGGGAGACTAGGTTCAAATCTAGTAGAGAGTCAGAGACAAAGGCTAGGTGATTTCTTCCTATCTCCCTAATATTTGGCGAGTAGCAAGTACCTGCTAGAATAGTCGAGATGCGAGCAAATTGGCCCAAACACCACCGTTCTAGAAAAGAATAATGTTTCTACTGGCCACGGTTTGACTCTATGCCCATCTGATCGAGTTTCTTACCCGGTAATAGCCTTCACACCCCAGTCTAGTGGAATTAAGATGTGCTATCCTATATAGGCTTACTTCGCCCTCCTATGTTGGCAAGGCTTCTACCTTCTGAATACCACATGTTTAATTCCTGTTCTTTCTTTTCTCACTAGAGATATTAAGCAAATTAAAAACAAATAACATCAGAATTTTGTATCTTTCAGAGACCTTTTCAGCATATATTTGGGAAACAAGTTACACATTCAGAGGAACTATATGCTCACCAAAGCATCAATAATTTCTTCGACTGTGTCATGGCTGAAACATTTATTGAGAGTTTCAATCCTAAAGAAAGAGAAAAGATGGATTAGATTAAGCTATCAAATACAGATTGATCTGCAAGCAAGACCACACAAACTTGATAAGAATTTCTTTTTATAAAAACAAAAGGTTGAACAAGAGTACATACAAAAACCAAAAGATCCATGCGAAACTATGACAAAAGTTATCATGAACCACAAAGTTTTAAGAATGAAGTGTGAATTTTCAGAGAGCTGAAAATTTGTTCCACTAGTTGATGTATTTTAATATAACTCAAGGAAAAGTTGGTGCCATTACCAGTTTCTCTATAATGGAAAAAACAATTTCGCCACTTACAAATCTAATGAAGCTAAATATGAAGAGCTAATTGCAGGATTTTGTGTTTATTAAATTAAACAATTTACCAGAAATTACCAATTTGATTCCTCGAAGAAGAAAGTAAGAGATTGATTTGCAATTCTTTCTTTTTGAGTAGTATGAAAAATGTTATGAAATAAGGCCAAGTGTCTCATCCAATTAAACCTATAACTTGCTTTCCAACAGCAGGTAAGATATTGAAGCAAGGCTGCAGTGTGTCCATTTATGATTTCAATCAATTAACCAAGAGCTTCTTTCTATGTTCTATAAGAAATGTGTATGGGATTCCCCGAAGATGTAGGTAGGGAATCCGCTGACTGGTGTGGTATATATTCTTGATTAACAACTAGAAAAGGTGTTTCAAATCCAATAGCAGCCCATAACACAAAATGGTAATTTGTATCAGTCCACCCCCTTTCAAACTGTAGCAAGAACTAACATATTTATGGACATTACATTTTACATGTTTACCAAGGATGACAGGTACCTGTGAAGTACACTTGTTGGATCTGGATGGACAATCTCTCCACAATTTTCAAGAGATCTTTCAATCACTGAGGGATCATCAGTCATCAATTTACCAAGTTGTTCCTCAATTAAGGGAAGCTTCTGAGAGGATTGGAGAAGGCAGAGAAGCAGTTTTCAGAGCAAAAGTCAAATAACCAAAGTATGCTATTGGTACCTAGGTGCAAAACAAATTTAAGCACAGGTATTAGACTTACTGCACTGTGTAAGTAGTGAGTGGCAAGCCCACAGGATATCATTTCTGCTCCATTGATCTTGTCTCCAGTTAGGGCCAGGTACTCTCCTGCAAATTGAAAACATTTAAATTGCTTTCTTCCATGCTGATTTTTTCTTTCATTTAGGCAGTAGCAAATCTCGAAACAGATGAGAGACAGAGAGAGAGGCAGCATACTAAAAACATATTCCACTTGGAACCACAAAATAGTAGTAGCATAAGATAGATAGGGCTTACATGAGCTGACATGAGTGCATTAGGTTGCTTAACATTTATATGCCATAGAATATGAAGTCATCAAAGAGCCAACCATGTAGATGCAGTGCTACATGATCTAGCATGAGTTATGAGTTATCGGTGATATCCACAAATAAAACGCTTGTAATCCACTAATTTTAGTCTGCCACCATTTAAAGCTAAATATTAAATAGACAGAACTACATATTAACATCATCGTATGAAGTTAAATTGTTTTTAAAAAAAAAAAAGAAACAATGGCAGTCCAGACAAATTCTGAACAGAGGCAGGATTCAAAGTCATAATCTTCAAAATACACGAAACAGGAGGAGGAACACAAGCTTAGTTCCAAAGAGANTAGATAATTCATCACGAAAGACGATCAGCTACACGACATGATAGAAGTTATTGATGAATCCAAACCACAGCATGAGATCAGCAAAAGAATTTACCCAAATGACCAGGGAGGTGTGAAAGGTAAAATGACGCCCCAGCATCGGGATGGTAACCAATCAATGTTTCTGGTGTGGCAAAAACCTACATGATACAAGACTCAATACCCTTATAAGAACTCTGAAAAATCAATCTAACAGCACTTGAAACACCTAAACTATCACCTCGCACACCGGCCAAATTTGATAGAACTCTTTGACTATTAAGTTCGATAAAAAATTTATTTTCCTGCACATTCCTTTAGTTCTTGAGAAATTTAAAATCAGGTCATAGCATTTAAATAAGACCAAGATATCTTAATGTTTTCAGCACTTCAAACGCTAAGCCTGTGGTTATAAGTCATATATAACGGAAATAAACAAGCTTCATCACGAAAAGTCAAAAGATTTGATAATATACAATTGTAATTACTATTTAATTTTTTGGTATAAAGAAATTTCATCAATATAGAGCATTCAATTTAAGAAGATTAAAAGATGAATTTTATCAAATTAACTCGGTTGAACTCATAAATAGAGAATAACTAATGAGGCCAAAACAGTCAATAGAGGAAAAGCAAGAGAAGGGGCAGAGGAAAAATTTGCTGAATAAGTTTGTAGCACTAGGATTTGAACTTCTTCCTGAAGAGAACTTATTCAGATTTAAAAGAACAGAAAGTTCATGATATGTGAAGTCACTAAGCTTTAGAGCACAAATGAAACTTCACATTACTTAGCAATGTAGTCTAGCAGTTCTTGAACTAGGAGAATTTATTCTGAACCAACAAATGAAAAACTTATGCAAACAAAATACAACTAATATTTTCCATACAGTTTTCTCAGTTGCAACACGGAAAGTTCCAGGAATTGAGATGCCAGCCCCACCACCCATGGTAATTCCATTCAAAAGAGCAACCTGCATATGGCATCTGAG